TAGGGAAATACTCCTGTTACCTTTTTTCTTTTTATTTTCTTTTTCTCTTTCTCCTTTCTTTGGCCAAACAAGGGGACAACGTACACCATCGTGGGTGGTTCTTTGTAATATTTATATATTTAATTTGTATATTATTTATAATATTTGTATATTTATCACCCCTTTCTGAATCTCCACTGAGACACACACACTACTTTAAATATATTTAAAATCTTTTACTGTCTTCCTTTCAGCTGAAGGTTTTAGGCATAAACTTCCACTTTACTGTAGTAACAACCAGCATCTTACAATGCTTAGCTTATAACTCAGCAGTGCAGTTTCTCCTTTCTATTTCTAGTTTCTGGAGAGGAAAGGGGCAGTCTTTTCTGAATCCTTGAGCTCTGAGTGGGAGATCTTCGCCAGAGACATCAGAGTAGGTGGCTTGGGCTTGTGTATTTCTGCAATGTATATAAAATGACTGTGATTAAATCTGCCAGTGTTTGGCTAAATGCGCATTCACTCACTCAAAATTATGCTTGCGCTCTTTGTGATTGCCCAGGCAAATTAAACTCGCACAGTTTCCTCTTTGGATCCTATTTTTTATATAAGCAGTAGTAATGAAAATGTTCAAAGGTCAGTTCATCTACAGTTTCCCCTGCTTCTGTGAAGGGGTTGTGCCACTGGAGACTTCTTCATCCCAAAGAACTGGATGAGTTGTTTTACTTTTATTAATACAGTGCTTTGAGCTATGCAGAAAAGCTCACACAAATTCATGGGATCAGTAAAATCAAAAAGCAGAACAAAAATATATATTCAGCAAGACAGGCGAGGTCCATCAGACGTCCACCCAAGGTGGATCTATTGAAGGGGGGCAGTAGGGCCGTAGAGGATGCATCTGTTTTTGGATAACAGGCATCAGTTTCTGAAGCTTCAGAAAAGCAGAGAGGTGATTCTGCCTTGAAAGCCCATGAACATCAAGAGCTCCTTAATATTCATTGATCTTTTTTGAAAGTGCTGTTGGTGTAACCCCACAGTGGCTAAGTTATCCTTAACTCTAGGTAGAGTAGCATAGGAGAGAGAGGCTTATAGGAGTTCTAAGATGTTATTTTGAATGGTTTATTTCACACTAGTGAGAAAAGTACCAGCTCTTTCATGTTTAAAGAGGAGGGAAAAAAAGAGCCTTTAATCTATGACTTGGATTTGGTTCTGGATTTTTTGTTTTTTTTTTTTTTTAAAGTTTAGGGTTTTTCCCCTTTCTCCTCTGTGAACAGTAAATGTTCACCATCATGATGGACTCTGTTCATGACTGCAGGTAACCCTCACGTGTAATTTCTCATTGTTCTGGATGTTTATATCTTCAAAATTCTCTATAATGCTGCGTTTTTCCTGCAGAAGGAAAACTTCCAAAACTTAATTTTTTTGGAGAGAAAAAATGTCAACAGCTGTTGGAGAGGATACAGCCATGATCTAACAGAGAGGACAGGACCTCTGTAATCAAAACCATTTCCACAAGCTGGAACATATTAACATGAGGGATAAAGGGTGACAGTACTAATGCTCCTTTAACATGGTTTTTACTGGGTGAATGTGATTCTCAAGAACCACCCATGGTGTAAAGATATATGTTGTCTAAACATACACTGTAATAATTTACTTTTATATAGTAGTAGTATTTACCAGAGGATGCAGACATTCTGGAATGACCCTATCTGTCCAAAATTTTCTTCTGCTTTCCAAGTTTATTCTAAATAAGATCTGCAGTCTGAACACCTAAAAGCAGTATATTTCGTGCTACCAGCTTCTACGTGTTCTTGAAGCACAGCCTGAGAACCTGTCTCTTTCTTCTTTTCCCTAGGTTCTAGGTTTGCACAGCTCCTGTGTACCTCCTGCTTTTTGTGGACTGCAGGGATTTAGTATTAAATGACTTTAACCTTCAAATTCTAGGAATGTTACAGTGTCTGTTTCCCTAGTTGTCATCTATTACCCTTCTTTTTCCTCCAAGGAAAGAGGATAGAGTTAAGTTCAAGATCCCTTGCAGCTGGACTGTACTCAAGCTGATGGGAATGTAGTGATAAGAGGCAAAGAATTTGAATTTATTACATTTTTTTTTCTTCCTTTCCTGCTGCTGAGTGCTGCAGTAATTTCACTGAGCTCATATATGCCCTTCCCAGTCAAACAAAATAAATGCACTGGAAAACATCTTGTATAAAGCTTCTAATAAACTGTGACTGGGTAATGAAGCAACTCCTAACAGCCTGTGTATGTTAAGTGCAAATAGAAATACCCAGGGTGTGCAGGTAGAGCTAAAGAAAGGTGTGGGAGACTGATGGTCTTGGAAACACCGCTCTCTTCCAAAAGCTGGCAGCAGCCTCTCTGCATCTGCCTATGGCTTAGTCCTACCTTGACCCAGATAGCTCCAGGAGGAAGATGAGGGCTATTCTTACAGGTTTTTCTCTCTCCCCGGAGGCTTTTGTATAGGACCAGGTACTGTGCTTTTTTGTGGCTGTTGCCCTAGGCTGTGGGGGATTATGTACAATGCAAACCATATTTAACCATAGCTAAATATTAAAGTTTTGTATGTTTTCATTTAGGAAATTAGCAAAAAACCTCATCAAAGTGCTGCAAAATTAGAGGAAAACTTCAAACCATTGCAGGACAAGAAGAAGTATCGGCATAGACCCGAACCTCTCTTCATACCTCCTCCTTCCTTCAACTTCAGTATGTCCCACTCCGGTGCCACACTGTACCAGAGCCAGCTCCGTTCCCCGCGCGTCCTTGGAGATCATCTGCTAGACCGCACGCACGAGCTCCCCCCTTACACTCCACCACCCATGCTTAGTCCAGTTCGCCAAGGCTCTGGTCTCTTCAGCAGTGTTATCACATCATCTCATAGCACCTCTCATACTCAGCTGCCACTTACTCCGCTGACACCTACTCCACGGGTACTCCTGTGTCGGTCTAGTAAGTATTATATTTATCGAGTGGCAGCACGTAGTAAATGCCACGGTGTTCTCTTCTGGTGTTATCACACTTACAATTTTACATGTGCTCACATAGGTGTATGGTTCTGTTACTTCACAGGAAAAGTCCGTCTTTATCAGTGTATTTGCCTTGGATTTCGTAGAGGTGGTGTTAAAGCATAAAGTGAATAGAGGAGCCTTTCCAATGAGTGAGGCTCTGATCTTTCAATTTGGTCTGCCTGCAGAAAGGAACACCATGCCTCATTACATCAGAGCCTTCTGAAATGGAGGGAAAAGACCTGGTTTGAGACATGGCTCATTTAAAGTATTTGTTATTTAGTGCTTCACAAGAAAAGGTTGCTAATTGTACGTGCTCATGGTAGCAGAAACCTGTCTAAGTTATGACACTTCTGTTGTCTCTATTTAAGCTGTTTTTATGTGTAAATGTTGAGGGAAGGTAATTTTTCCTTAATAGACGGGAGCGATCCTTCCAGAAGAAAAGAGATTGTAACTGTACACTGAGTCACTTCAGACATGGTCACCAGAGGGCTGCGCTGCATGTTTTGTGATGTAAATTGCCTGTGCTATCATAGCGATTCCTTAAAGTTCCCATTGCTGCTCTTCCAGCTCATTCTCAGCTTTGTAAAATGAGTAAACTGCATGCTACTAGCATGATAACTCAAACAGTAAGTGAAAATCCTGTATGCAGAATCACTACACATGTCCTGTAACCCAAAGAAAAGAATGTCATCTCATTTCTCCCACTTCTCTCTTGGAGGTTGGTAACTTTATATCTTCAAAATTACTGACCTTCAAATCAAAACCAACCATGTAACCAAATTTTATGATCTGTACTGATGTGTTTTAGTCCCTTACTTTCTGTTGTATGCTACCAGACCATACTAGTGCCCTTCAGATGATGAAGAATTTCAAATCCTGGGTGTCATTTATTGTGGCTGCCTCCAACAAAAAGCCATTACCTCACTCATGTTCTGGCGCAGGCATGGACTCCTGGTTTTGTTTGACTCAGTTCTCTGTCTTACAATCTTTTTCCTTCCTGCTTGCTCGTTCTGGGAGGTGTTTAGAAGTTGGAGTCGGCGCTCTCGTTCGGAAAAGTAATGTGTACAAACCTTTTCCTGCTCTTGCAACTTCATTAAAATCTAGTTGTTAGTCTCCTCGAAGACCAAAGTAAAATGGGTACTGCTGACTGTAGGGTTTTTTGCGTGTATGCAGGGTTTTTTTGTGTTGCGTTTCAGTGATACTTTACAAAGTGATTTAATCTCACAAAAGAAGTTTTCAGTATTTTAGGAAAAGAACATGTTCAGAACAGTAAAAGTATCTGACTTTTGACTTGCAAGGTTACAGTTTTAAGTTGAATAGGCCAACACTGTAGGTCAGGTAAGATAAGGAGTGGGAAAGAGCTGAAGCAGTAGCTTTTTTGAAGACAGAAAAGATTGTGCAGCAAACAAATCAGACAACCCTGTAGCTATGATTGGAGATATAACTGAGATACGAAGTTAACAGGTATGGTCAGAGGGGATGGGGGAATTGCAGGGAGCCTCACAGAGGCAGTAACTGTAAAATAGTGTAAATTTATGGTACACTGCCAGAACGGGTCTTTCCCGGCAGAGGTAAAAAGATAAAGCTCAGGGGATGTTCTAGAGAAAAATTTTAAATAACTGACCTCTGTATTTGTAACTACTGATGAGAATCCCGAAGTAGGAATTGTTTTTTGAGGTGCCAAAAGCATTGAATGTATTCTCTGTATTCAGCTAATTTTTTGCCCTAACTAGTGTTCTTCTCCACATCAGGAGAGCACAGAGAACGTCTAGTCATTACTGATGATACATGCCTTAAGCTTGTTTTAACCCCTCAGCTGTCACTCAGTCTCCTGTATGTGGCTAATTACTCTTTCACATGAGAAATATACCTGATTATCCAGGAACTGGGTAATCTTGAGCCGAACATATCCCAGGTGCTGCAAAGTATCCCAGATGTGTCCTGATTCACTGATTTCTGCAGAATGTTGATAAGGAGGTAGCAGTGCAGCCAAAGGAAGTGGCGTGTCAGCAGTGATATAGTTGTTAGGAAAATGTATTTAAACACAGAAACTCCAATCTCTGTTTCAGATAGTATTGATGGAAGTGTCATTCCAGTGACGCCTGGCCCCGGAGAACAGACTGTGGAACCGTAAGAAATAATATTTCTTTGTCACTGCTTTTATAGACTAATTCTACTAACTCAGCCTCTCCTACTTAGAACTGACAGCTTGAAGTATTTTGAAACAAGCAGATAATGTTCAACCTCCTTGAAATCATGTTGGGTTGGATGCATTCAACCTACACCACCTCTGGATGGGGGCTGAGGACTCTGGAAGCAAAGTGTCTGTGGGAGAATTGGATGTCATGGTTCAAAAATACTAGGAAAGGCTTGGTAGAAGCTACTGAAGGTGGAAAATGGCTAGCAAAGTCTGGGAAAAGGGCCACAAGGAAAATATATGCTCATCCAGTACTCTACCTCTTAAGATCATCTCTGGAGATTTGGAGAAGTGTTATTTGGTATGTTCCCCCGGGTAGGCCACAAACAGTGTTGTCCCTTAGCAGCAAAGTCTCTTTCTACTCTCTACTCAAGAGTACTATGCTCCGAGTATGGAGCAGGAAGTTACCATTTCCTGCATCTAGCCTCTTTGATAGTCAGCACTTGGGTAGGCTAGCTTGGTTTTCTGCAAGGTGTGATGTCTCAGTAGAGTTTACATTGTGCATTGATATTTTTTATTTCCACCCCCCCTTTCCCCCACCCCCAGAGACTGATCCGCTTTAATAATCGAGATACTTATCCCAGTGAGAGTAAAGCATTGCATAAAACAGTCTGACACAATTTCCTGCCACTCTGTGTAATAAAAGTTTTGTTGGGAACAAAATGAAAACTAATGTGACTTCTGTTTTTCTGCACGTTGTACAGTTGAATACTTACTTTCTTTTTTGGCTTTATAGACGAATCAATATCGGCTCTAGGTTCCAGGCTGATATTCCTGAGCTGCAGGACAGATTGCTAATGGAGAAAGATATGCACAAGGCTACTTTGGTTTGGAAACCGTGGCCAGAACTGGAGAATAAAGTCTTCCAGCAGAGAGGTACAGTGACTTGCTAGTTTAATAACTCATACGTAATGCTGTGCCTGCTGAAGAAATTCTGCACACTATACTATACATCCAAGAGGTGTTAATGACCGTGAATACAGGGCAAAAGACCAGAACTACACGTTACAGATTCACAGTAACAACACTGTATGGTGACCCTTGAAGTGAGGTGAGGGTGAAGTGTGTTCATCCTCAAGCCGAGGGGGAAGGATCATTGCTAGGAAGATGATTTTGGGACACTGAACTGCCTGGTAAGGACAGAGGTCAGACATGAGAGGCAGCTGATGGTTCCTGGGCCTGTCCTAGGACCATAACTGAGAAAAAAAATAGGATGGTTTCAGTGGCTCCTACCAGTCTTGAGTACAGTTTGCTCCTGCTGCCAGCATGACTCATTTCCGTTTCTCCGCCCTGGCTGGAGCCTTCTTGGTGCAACAACACCACTGACCATAAACTTTTCCAAGCCACAGCTTCACAGCCAAATCCCTGGCTTTGTCTCTACAATACCCTAGTCCATCCTGAGGATGCATTTTGCAAGTCCAGATGTATCCCCTCCTCAGTGAGTGATCCTAAAACCAGGAGGAGAGGGTGTGGAGAAGGGAGACTGTGAAAGCTGCTGCCTCAAACTATGTTCTCGTTGAGAGGCTTTACAGAATCCTTGGCTCTGCGTGTGTAACTGACAGGCTATTGTGTAATGCACTCAAATGTTGACTTGTTTCTGACAGTGGAAGACCTCTTAAATATGAGCTGTTCCAGTGTATTACCTGGTGGAGGAACTAACTCGGAATACGCTTTGCACTCTCTCTTTGAGGCAAAAGGAGATGTTATGGTAAGATAAGAAGCTGAAAAGAGAGATATGCTTCTCTTCCGCAGATAAATTAGCATGCTTTATTAAATGGATTTAGATTTGGTTATACAAAAAAGAGATTTCTGATTGATTAGCAGTGATGCTTTAAGCATCCTGCAACATTTTAGGGGAATGACTTTTTCCTTTCATTCTTTAATAAATTTAAATTTCAAAGCAGTGCCTCTCTGGAGGCTTACTGCACGTTTTGGATAGATAAGATTACTCAGTTTATAGCCTTGGGGCTTTGAATGTCTCCCAGCGCTTTCTGCAGTCCTGATATTACGTAGGCTTTATATTTGGTCACAAAGGGCTTAGTCCTCTTTTAACCCTCATAAAACCCTATTTTGTAGCAGCAATCACATCTGTTTAATTGTTCAGAACTGTAGGGTAATTGCATACAGTTCTCATATAGATAATGCGTTTAAAACATTTGTCAGTTTGGCCGTGGGAGTGTTACCAAGTGGGGCAAAATATCGCTGGAAAGGCGATGTAAAATAAAACGCAACAGAACACAGGGCTAGAATGGATCTCCCAAGGTTGTCTAACACAGTGGTTTTTAACTTGGGTCCCAGTGTCCTTAGGATCTGTTAACTGTATCTGAGGGGCCTGGGACCTGGGATGGGTGACTGAGAAAATGAACCTACTGTCAGGACTTGAAATTTGCTTGTAGGGCTCTGCGTCTTCAGGGGAAGAATTGCAGGGATCTGCAACTCATCTGTCTCCCTGATCCGAAGGACGATTACGTATACTCGGTGTCACTCCTGACAGATGTTGACCTAAACAGATGTTCTAAAAGACTTCCAACTTACAAGCAACATTGCAGCTTTTCCCGGAAAGTTATTGCAGTGCTTCACCGTTCTTACGACTAAAAGCTTTGCTCTCAAATATAACCAAAATCTACCCTCTTGCAGTTAAACCTCGTACCTACTTTCTTCTTTACTATGGATATGGAGAAAGTCCATGTTCCCTTTTATATTTTACCATACTGTTACTGTTTCCTCCTCACACTAGAGCAGCAGAGCAGTTGTTTCAAGTCATTTGAAAGCGTTTGTAGGTGTGTTTGTATGTGGCAAGTAGAAGGGAGTGAGGAATTGGAAGTTACTAATTATTCACGTTTGTGCTAATTAAGGCTGGACAGGTGCACGTGAGGTACTCTTATGTGAGATACAGCATAAATGGGCCTTGAAGTAATTTGATGTGACTTCATATGACAGAAAAGGAAAATGAAACGGCAGTAAACTATCTCATGTCTTAATACAAGCGAGTCTCCTATGTGTAGCTGTACACAGCAGCTCACTGCATTTGCTCATTCTCTTTTTCCCTTCTGATTTGTTTAGGTTGCTCTTGAGAAGCTGCTGTTGCGGAAGCCAGTGAGATTGAAGTGTCATCCTTTGGCAAATTACCACTACGCTGGTAGGTTTCCTTGCGATCTTTGTATCTGTTGGATTATAGAGTCCAAGACTGGCATCCCCAACTGGAGCATGGGATGACACTGCACTCTCTGCTGTTTGCTACAGGGATGGCAGCCTCTGATAGAGAGGTGATGTGAACAGTGCTGAGTGGTACTTTGGGAGTTTTTGGTTACAAATTTGGCAGCTTCTTACCTGGCCAATGATGTGCAGAGACATTGTGTCCATGACAATGTGTACGGTTCTGCAGATTTAAAGCTGCCTTGAGTGTATTTTTTTTTCCTTTTGAACTCAGAGTTTAATTTGATCTTTTAAAATTCTTGGTATTCATAGATCATAATTCGCTAGTGGTAAGGTCTTCAGTTTCTGGTATGTAAATGTCCGCCATCATGCCGTCTTCTTCTGGTGTGATGGTTCACGATAAGCGTATGCGATAATCGTAAGCATCCTTCCAAAGACACAGCTCTGTTAACTCTCACAAGTGTTGCAGAGTGCTGAATACAGAGCCTCTCTTTGCATGGATCTAGACTAAAAGAATCGGGTCCGGGATGATGATTTTAACAAACACAGCCAGAACCTCCTTTTAGTTGTAGAGCAGAAGTACTCTGTGAAATACACAAGACAACGTTGGACTGAAGTGATGTCACCTAAGCATAGCAAGGTAGCAGATCTCTCTCCTGTGCCCTTCCCCACTTAATGCTTTGTAGCACCCAATGGCTGCTTTGACAGACAGACAGACTTAGGTTTTACGTAAGAGACTTGAGATTTCATCTCTAATTTAGGCTCAGTAGGAAACAAGCCAAGAATCTTCTGGTGGTCAGACAGTCAGTAACAATATCCAGGGTCTTGCAGTTGTTTCCAGTGACAGTTGTTGTGCCATGTCAGTTTAGCAGCAAGCTGCGTCTGGGCTGTAGCAAGTGACTGCAGAGCTTCGGAAGCAGCAAAGACTCTTTAGTAAAGAAACTCCTTAACCCTATGGCCTGACAACAAGAACAGAACCATGGCTGCTGATGGCTTTGGTGGCAGCTGATAATAAGTGAATAAAGGTGAGGATCAGGTTTTGAGTCTTGGCTAGGGGGAGATGTCTACGGCCTTTGAGAACAATCTGTTGCAGTCCAAAGGATGGACGCTGGTGATGGGACAGAGGAGAGGGACTTCAACCAGGGGCTGTGACCAAGGCGTCTGGGGGCTCTTGTCTGACGAGGTGACACCAAAGCATATTTGTGAGATGATCCAGGGGATGTAGGCAGGGATGAGAGCGTGGACATCAGGAGATGTCTCAGCAAGCCTCTCCCTCAGTGAGGGGTTAAGTTAGCGGAGCAGGTAAGAAATTTCTGCCTGTATGACAGAAGAGGAAGAATAGTCTTTACTGAAACAAATTCACAGTAGTTTAATAAAATATTTTGCTGTGATGCAAGGAGGAGCTAGGAGAGACTGTTTAGCTTTATCTTTCACATGAGATGATGCAAATTCTGGTGAGCTAGCATTGAGATCTGTGGACATTAGAGTATTCCTATTTCTTAAGCAGAAAAGGAAGTTTGAGTTAGCTTACCACAGCACGAAACAAAATCTTTCTAGTCTAGATTTAAGTCTCATAAAATAACAAGACAAAGCATTACTTACTAATACTCTTGAATACAGCATGTGATTGCAACTTATATTGACAGCCACGCGCTAGCACCATACAGCTCTTGAATAATGGCTTATTTGTGGTTGATAATCAGCCACTCTAGACATATGGGAATTTCTCACAAAGTATTGCATGAATAGCTTAATATAACTTCAAGTGGCATTTGTTTGGGTTAACTCTTTGAGCTTTTTGCTTTGTATGAGAAGGATTCAGAGATTGCAGCTCTCAGACACAGCTGTATTTAAAGCTGTTAACCAAAACAGAGCACGACACTGACTCATGAGAATTAATTGATACCCTAAACAGTAAATATCGAAACTCATCCTCAGCGTTGTCTTTGCAAAAGTGTACAAGTGAACAGCTCATCCTTGATACCTGCTGGCTCATAAGAGAAGCAAGTTGTAAAACTTAAGACGTTTCTGTTGTTCACTAGAAGTGCTGGGCATTCTGACCTGGGTTGCTTGTCAGAACACCCTAATCTCTCTGTCCTAATGCCTCGGCATCTGTCAGGATGGTGTATTAGGGCAGAGAGAGAGGGAACACGTATCTAACACAAGAGGAGCGCTGTAACAGACACTTGATTTGTTTTTTATTTGAACAGTGGAATTTCTCGGATCTGAAGTTCCCTTGCAGTAAGAATTGCAGGAAAGAGGCTCTCTGAAGTAATGTGCTTCAGGCAGTCTCAAAACTTCCGATACACATTGTGGTGGTGTGGGGATCATACCTAGCATAAGTTATGTAATGGATTTGAGCCATCTCTCCAGGGTAGCTCCCTGGGTGTAGCTCCCTTGAAACCCCCACGCGTTGGGCCCAAAGCCCCCATATTTGTAGCAGACATTTATTGTCAGTTAATGAGTGCAAAAACAATATTTTAATAAGGCCGATAAGATGAAATGTGGAGTAAGTGCTTAAACACAAAGATCAGCTTTAAAATTTGATCTATGTTCTGAAGTCCAAAAATCTTTCTTGCTGCATTGCAGATCCCTCTGTACACGTTCTCTCTGTCTCCCTCAAGCTAACAAGAGCAAAAGCGGTTTCCCAGCAACCAGAGTTAAAAACAGCTTTTCTTCTGTTTCTTTTCCTACACAGGATTTATTCTATTAATTAGGTTACTTCCAATTAACCCTCATAATCTTGTAAGGGTCCTTGCTAATACCACATCTATTGGGAAACTGTGTAAGGCTTGACTCCTCCTTAGGTGTGCAGTAAAATTAGTTCACTGAAGTGTTTTTTTTTTTTTCTCTCCGTGAGGGTGGGATGGGGCAGGGGAGGATGACCAATCTAACTGAAGAGGTTTGCTTGAAACTAAAACCCATCCTTTTGATGTTGTCATGCTTTTTAAAAAGTTACATTTTTGGCATAGGAAACCAGGCCCCTAGTGAGCTTCTCTAAAGAGAAGGGGAATGGCAAATGAATGCCAGGTTATGTAAAAAAAAAAAAAAAAAAAAAAAAGATGATGCTGGTTTGGGATGGGAAGATGGGAAGGATGGCAGAGCAGTGTGTCAGCAAAAAGGTCTTTAGTGGATAACAAAATAGATAAAACGCGCAGCTTGAAACCAGTGCCTTTCCCTGACCCTTATATAGAGAGAGTTTTGTGTAAATCTTGGTGGAAATAACTAATGCGTGTTTATTTCCAGTACTGGAAGAGCCTGCAGAAAGCAGGTGGCAGGAAAGTTAATTTTATAGTCTTCAGCATGTGATGGACTGGTGAGATACCTACTCTAAGCTTGTGAGCCTGGGAGTTGACCCTGAAAAGCCAAACCTTTGTGGTTAATGAAAAATGCATATATTCTCTGTAGATGTTAAGTAACCCACAGAGTTCAATACCACATGTGGTGTTGAACAGCCCAAATCAGTTGAATTCAGTGCAGTGGCAAGCACTTCTCTGGAGAATGGCAGCATCGACAGGAACATTAGGAATTTCTTGTAATGAAAAAGTTCCGGATGTTTCCGACGCTCCCAGACAGACTGAAGTAGAAACTTCTCATAGAATAAGTAATTATAAAGGCATCTGCTCTGTGGCTTCTTGCAGGTTCTTCCTTTAATGTATATAATGCTGCCCACCCTTACAAACAGGACACTGGTTTGATGCAGCAGAGCAATTTTGTGTTCCTTCTGTTTGACTAATAGTGCAGATTTGAATGGAAACACAAATTCATTTAAATTTAAATGTTGACCTCACATTTTCATGGGCAGTTGGACTGGTGAAGCAAATACAGAATAGTAATATCTGAAAATTTTATATACAGCTACCTTCAAATGATCAGGAAGCACTTTGCACTTACTGCACGCTGCCTTCGTGGGAGTATTTACATACCGTCTCTGTCTACTTGTGGTCTCAATCGCAAAGAATTTAAGTGTCTTACCTCAAGTCATACATGTGAAGATTTGTAGAAGTAGCTTATGAGAGTGACTGTCTGGAGAACAAAATGATAGATGAACCTCACTGCAGCTGAATGTAAAGTGGCATATATGGGAATAGGCGGTATAAGCTTTACATATAAAATGATGAGCTCTGAGCTGATATTTCCCATGTAGACTAAGACTTTGGGATTATAACAGTAGTTCTTTGAAAACATAAGCTCTCTGTTTTACAGTAGCCAAAAAGGCAAATCTCTTTTGTTAAAAGAACAAAATAGTCCGTGGCTTGCCCATACGTTGACTATTATGTGCATTTCTGGTCCCTTTATCTCTAAAGGCATATATTAGTATATTAGGAATATGTTATTTCTGAACCTGAAAAAGGTTCAGAAGAGGACAGCAGTAATGATCAAAGGCATGGGAATGACTGGGTCTCTTCAATATGGAGAAGGAAAAGGGGGAACAGAAGAGAGACAAGGTACAAATCCTAACTGGTGTGGAGAGGATGGATAGAGACTGAGCGTTTATTTTCCCTCCCAGTTGAAGAAGTAGGGGTCTTCCAGTGAAGCTACTGGGAGCTAGGAAGCAAAGAAAAGGAGATGATTCTTCATGCAGGGGGTTTACTAATCTGTGAAACTCCTTGGCAAAGGACGTTGTGGATCCAAGAGGTTTAACTGGTTGAAAGGGATACTAACCAGCGTTTAGAAGAAACGGTTACTAAATAAGCAAATTGTAACAGGCTCAGGAAATCCCCTGAACTGAAAGTGGTCAGAGGTTAGGAAAAATTGGGAAGAGGCATTGTATTTGCTTGCCCTGATCTTACTGTTTCTAGGCAACTGTCTGTGACTGCTGCTGGAGAGACAATATTGGGTTAGCTGGACTCTAGGTAGTGAGTCAGGGTAGCCATTCTTGTATTGGCATAGCAGGAATCACGAGCAGGTACTTAAGATTTCCCAGTTCTTGTTCCAGATACTAAATTAACATACAAAATGGTGGTGGGTTTGTACTGTAAGAATTAATTCACTGAGTTTAGTTGTTGTTGGTTTTTTAGGCTCTGACAAATGGACGCATCAAGAGAGAAGGCTGTTCAAAGAGGCATTGTCCACCTACAGCAAGGATTTTATATTTGTACAAAAAATGGTAAAGTTGTTTCTGTTCTGTCAATTTTTTTTTTCCATTTGCCACATTCTGTTGTTCCCTTTCGTTTTCCTTCCAGGGACAGACCAACTTACTGCAGGCATAGAGCCAATGCTGGTTAGAAGAACGCCATTAGGAATGATATATTCTCTATGGTGCACACATGCATGCAAGTACAGAACCAATAAAAACACTTTAAAAAAAGAAAAGCTTCTGATCCTCTTGTAATTAAAAGATCAGATGTAAGATCCTCTTGTACTAAAATAAAAAGCCTCAATAAGCACGTCTAAGTCACGGCATTGCATGTGTGGGACAAGTATGGTGCCCCTCTAACATCTCCATGTTCTCTGGCAGTTTATTAAAAGGAGCCTAGGTCACAGGCATCAAACCTCACTCCAGAAAGGCTTGAATCCTATTAATAAGAGAAAACATGTTTGGGCTTAATTTTCATGTTCTGCCACAAAGCAGAAAAGACAAGGTGTGTATGTCTCGCGGCAGAATTGGATATACCTTGCTTGTCACTTCGCACATTGAAAAACATTTGGGTTTGTGCAAACCAAATCTTAATTCCTAGATTTCTTGGTTGTAGTGTGCAATTAAGCTACAAATGAATATTCTCAGTCATCATCTTAACTAGAGTCTAGAGAATCCCAGAGAAATGTACTGAAGCTAAAATAGTCAACGCAAATTTGACTGGAAAATAATAATTTTAAAATGTTCTGCAAGAGTGTTGCTGTCCTATTCACGTTATCTTCATTTCTCCATTTGAATGTTTGAGAAATAAAACCAGCATCTTAAGTAGTTTTCATTCAACATGATGAAAAAATATAACATTGATACTGGACTATTTCTGCAATTACTTAACTGCAGGTTAAGTCTAAGACGGTTGCACAATGTGTGGAATACTACTATACTTGGAAGAAAATCTTGCGTTTGGGACGGAAACACAGAACGCGTTTAGAGAAAAAGAGAGAGGAATGCCTGGTGAGTTTAAATGAATGTGTGAAAGTGTAACACTTTTCTTTTCAAGTTCGTCCTGTTTTGAGCAGGAGGTTGAACTAGGTGGCATGGGTCTCTTCCAACCTAACTTATTCCATAATTCTGAACTACGTTGTATATAGGCATTCTATGACCTCGGCTACAACAAGATTTTTGCTTTCCTGGACTGTATGGGATAGAAGTGTTTTACAAGTATGTCCTCTAACTCTAGCCCAACAATTAGGGCTTTTGCTATTGCTGAAGCAGATGAACCTCTTTGCCTGTATGTGTGTGCCTGAAGACTGCTCTGCTGTTCTGGCACAAACAGCATTTACTTAGACTGGCAATGATTTTTTTGTGTGCCGAGCCCATATCACAGGCAGCCTGAGCAGTCCTAAGAGACATAATTTTTTTAGTAAGTCATTTCATTAGACTATGAATATAGTGTACATCACCATCCTAAAACTGGGTATGGGAAAGTATTGCATCTCGGCATCTGTAGACTCTGTGGGCCACAGCTCTGTAATGCAGGCAGAGGATGTTTTGAACACTGCTATACAGCTTCCTGAACTGTAGCTTGTCCCTTAAGGGTTGGTTGTTTCAG